TTCACGGATTATAAAATATTCTATCACAAACCCGCATATATACGGGTCCTTTACCTAGTATCATATAAAGTCTCATATATTTTCAAATGAAAATTAATTGATAATTAGTGAAAAAGCCTATATCCACCATATAATAGTATTGAACTATTTCTATTTCAGACAATTTAGACCTCTAATATCTTTTGACTCGTTTAAACACTAAACAGTATTTGGATATTGACACGTTGTGGGAAACAAAGACGTTTTGATTATTCAAGTGGTTGTAAAGATTACCAAAAATATTAAAATGTTCTCGAGTTTCAAAAATAAAAACAAAAGAATTGAAAATTCCTATGATACATATTCGTATAAATATCCCGACTAAAAACAAAAACTCTAGCAAATCACATCGTAACAAACCTCATAAAAATATATGTGGTCTTAAGCTAATGTTGCCATTTTCCACATTGATACAAGCGACCAACAATTTCTTAAACAATCCTAATCAATCTTGTGATCTGAGCCGTTGACTAGCTTGATCACATCTAACATCAGCACCAAATCCAACCCTTGATTTAGCCAAATCAAACTCCATCCACACGTTTTGCTGGTGATGATGTCCAATCACAAATGCTTCTATTCCCAAAAGATCGGAGTTCCCAAATGTGAAGCAATACACCTGATCTTTACCTCCTAATCCGGATCCGTTTACCCGGTACAACAATTTCTGACCCGATACACTCATCTCGGCGCCACGGAACATTAAACTAATAACCGGCAAACGCGAGAAATCCGGCCGGGTCAAAGCCCCGACCCGATAACATAGGTCCATGGTCCCTTGGAACACAAAATTTGGATCGTCTACAATTTTGAGTACCGATTTGGTTTGCGTAATAAACTCGGTTCTCAAGGCGGTGTAAACCGGTCCCATCAGGAACGTAAATTGTGTACCGGAATCGACCATTGTCTGACCTGCCCCGGTATGGTCCGGTACGAACACGGATTTGGGTAAGGACAGTAATTTTGACCCGACCCGGATTCCTTCTAACTGGACCGTGTAAGCGACCCGGTCGAAATAGGGTAACGGGGTCGTTTGAAGTACCAAAGGCGTGTATTGGATTGGACCGAGCCATGAGAAACTCGAGTCACCGAGAAGCAATATACCGGAGGAATCTGAACCGGAGATGCAATACGAGAATTTGCTGAAACCAAGCTGGTTAACGAACGATAAAGATCCCCGGTTCATTCCCATTAAACCGGTCGATTTAGCGTCCTCCTCCGAATCAGAGCTTAAACCAGAGTCCATGCACCCGAATATCGTACCGGGTCGGGTCCAAGATCCGATTACAAACGTCTCTTGAGCTAAGTTGCCTTCGATTGAAGTAGCATCGGCGTAGGAGATTGCCACGTGGCAAAGATGGGTTTTCGGGTCGCATGAAGCGGGGATGGTTAAATCCCGGGTCCGGGTCCTACATATGGGTGAGGAGCATGGGATGGGCGAGTAAGAAGAGGATGAAACCGGGTCGAATACGGATCCTAAGTTGGGTGATTTCTTGCAGTGAAGCCATGAAAGCTCACTTCCGGTGTCAAGAACCATCGAAATGTTTTGCGGCGGAGACCCAACGGCGAGAGTGACGGTAAGAGTGACATTATGTCTGAATGAAAGCTTGTCTGAAGAAGAGTGAGGAAGAGTTTTGGTTTTGAGAGAAAAGATTAGTCTTTGATTTGTAAGAGATGTTTTGCAGAGAGTGAGAGGGAAAATGAGAAGTAGAATTGAAATTTCAAGAAATAAATTTGAAAGAGATGATGATGAAGCCATCATTAAGTCTTGACTCTTTGCTACATACTTAGCGATCTTTTAAATACAATATTGCGTTTTTTTTCTTCACTTTTCTTATTCTCTCGATTTTTTGACCCGGTTTATTCCGGTTTACTCAAATTTGTCCGAACCACACGCACAAAACAAACAAAAAGAGACTTTGAATTTTAGGTGGAAAACCTTGAGTTAACTTCTAAGCAATAATTTTAGTAGCTAGTCAAAATCAATGACCAAACCAATTAATACTATTCAGAAAATATTATCTTGTCTTGACTCAAAAAGAAAATCATTTCACGAAGATCATTAGGGTTTTATTTTTTGTTTGTAGTCAATTTCATTTGAATGTTTATTTGTTTAGGGTTTTGGAGGGAGGCAGGTCTCGAGACAAAAGACAAGTTAGTGGAGGAGTAGGTCTTTTTGGCTGTGTCTTTGTGGGCTTCTGTTGATGAGTCTCTGTAGTTTCACGTCAACTTTGTTTCTACTTTTCTTCGTGTTCCCACTTTCTACGGGATTTTATAATTTTGTTGAATTTCTTAATTGTATCATGTTTACTATAATTAAATCAAAAGAGAGATATCGTGTAAAGTAAAGTTCTATTCATTTAAATTCAATAACCGACCTCACGAAAAAAATAATACGAATGGTTGGATGATTGATTGTTGTTACTCTGTAAAGGCCCGTCTAATTTTGCAAAGTTGGTTCGAATATGATTAGTTTTGAGATTTGTGATTTGATAAGAAGCACTTTCCTAAAATAACTCTTGACCGACATAATATATTTTACATTTTTAGAAATATCTTTTGTCTTATATTAATTTATCACTTTTTGATTACTTCTTCACTTGTGGCATATTGTTACCGTAACAATATGCTGCAACACCAAAAAAACTAGCGATTTTAAAACCAAATTTTACAAAGGTTATTGTCTTTTGTTCCGTTTCCATTCCATATGAAATTGAAACACATTTAGAACAAACCTTTAATTACAAATGATCTAGTTTTTTTCTTCTTTATGTTTTAACTTCTTTTCGGATCGATCATGCACCATCTCTCCTTGTTTCCCACGTTACCCATCACCTAACTTACAAGACCGTACTTTACAGTCTATACTAGCATATATATATTTGGTGCATTTCGTACTCTTGATTTCAAAGTATTTTATATACATAAAAGATCATCAAAGATTAAGCATGTAGTTGCACAAAAAAAAAGATTAAGCATGTATATAAAAATCAGGATTCCTATCTAATATGGTCGTAACCAAATATTAACGCGTCAAACCGAGTCAAAACTCCTTTTTCGTTAGTCTAATTTACTTTTAGTTTTTGAAGCATTTCACCATAATAAAGTTTTCTATTTTTGTTAAATAAACTTTTACATTATTAAAAAAAAAAAAAACACGTCAAACCAAGTCGTGCTTTTGCCTTGTAGTATATTTAAGGTAAACGAAACTTTAATTATTTATTGTAATTTTGCGGAGTTTGTCAAAGTTGGCGAAAGGTGAAGACGAAAATCGACCAAAAAGTTTGTGAAATGTGTGCTGGAGGCAACCCATTCCTTAGTCTTTCTCAATTCTCACCAACTCCTTCCTCTTGTGCTACCAAATATCTAAACATCGTCCTTTTTCTTCTCAATCAACCACGCACCAACAAAAATATTTTGGACGTATGAGTCTAAACTAATTAAATTATAGAGTTACAGCTGCAAGGTGATACATCTTAGTGGTCAAAACTACATTGAATCACAATTGATCCCAAGGTCTTTGACAAAATAACTCATAAGAAAAAACAAGTAAACTTTTGTCCAAAATAGTGGCTTTCCAATTGTGAATGATTCACTATAAATGTTTTTTTTTTCTACACAGTTCGAGTTCTTCTACGATTTTAGTTATTTTTGACCACTCGTAAACGTCTATCTTAAGTGGCAAGAAAATCCGGATTTTTATAGGTCTTAGAGAATTGGTCTGAATTTATGTTTTAACAAATTTGTTCAAAAGATAAATGAGGCCTCGAGCAATAAATGTTGGATTTTTTTCTTTCCAGGTTGATTAGATGTAAATATTGGACCAAGCCAATCTTGCTAATGATTGAAAAAGCTTTTTGGTAAATGAGTTTTAGTCTCGACCACATGATGGTAATATAACTCAAATCTTGGATGGACGGTTATGATGCTTGCAACCCATCGATTTCTTCTAGACATCGGTGTGGTTCTGTGGTCTCGTTTGAACAAATAAGTTTGCATTTTCCGAGTAAATTACCATCTTCCTTGTCTAACTATGTTGTAGTTTTTTTCTTAGAGGTTGGGCAATAGTAGTTGAATTCGAACTTGAGAAACTTCATATCATCAGAACCAATCTTAAGAAACTTGGGATTAGGGCAACAAATATTTTTTTTATCATGTTAATTGGAAGCTAATTAATTAAGTGTTTACTATTTTCATTCACTTTCAATTTTTTGTTTCAAATTATATGACCCATAAAGACATATCCATATATGTACCTTGCATTTTGAATTGAAAGTCCTTTATCAAAAAGAAAAAAAATTATTATCATCACTACAAAAAAAAGTCAATATTGTTACGATTTTTTTGGTCACAATATAGAAATATTTCGTCACAAAAAAATTTATAGTAGGTATGTTTAGACTTTATATGCCGGGTCATTTTTAATGACGAATAAACGGTCTTATTTTTAGTATTATTTCATTTATACTATTTTCCAGTTGTTATGTATTCTTGGCTTTTTTGAAGAACTGAAACTATTCTCATATTTCACTTATAAARTTTAGTTCATGTGTTTTTACTATTGTGACAAAATAGTCACAACTGTGCCACGTTTTGTTTGTGACCTAGCAAAAAGTCACTAAAACTGTGAGTACTTGTCACGAGGTAGTCACCAAATATTTCTAACTATGAGTGACGTAAATTTAGTCACAAAATGGTATAATTTAGTAACTAAATTTAGTCACAAGTCTGTAACACTATTTGTGACTCCATAATTTGTAACAAAGTTGTCACAATTAGTTACGAAAAATCTGTTACCTTCGATTACGTCACAATATTATGACCGAGTACTAACTATTTTGTGACTAAACAAGTTTGTCACAATTTCGTATGTGAATCGTCACAATATTGTGACTGAATACTAACTATTTTATGACTAACCAAGTTTGTCACAATTTCGTATGTGAATCGTCACAACATTATGACCGAAAAAAATGGTCACAATTTTTTGTCACAATATCACCATTTTTTTGTAGTGCATGTTAAATTTTAAATTTTCATTAGTAGTTGGTTACTTACAAGTCTGTATCAAAGTTGTGGAGGTGGAGTGTTCGATCTCCCCTCTGCAATGGACGACAACTTGCCACTCTATCCCATACTTTGTTGAGTTTGTTGAAAATATTGGACACAAGGTTTATCGATTGTTGATGCTCTATGGAATTAAGAATATGACGTATATATTATTTCCATTTTTTTGTTCATATTCTATAAGTTTGTGGCTATTCTATTTTCGTTAGAATAATCAACGAAAAAAATTCAATATTATGGACGTTCATCCAAAAAACCAAACACCAAGGAAAAATATAAGTACGAATTGAAGAAGTAAAGTCAGAATGGATTAAATGCGTTATTTGTATTCTAATGTATTTTCTTGTGTCAAGGACATACCATTGCGTATGGGGGACCAGCTTTTTAAAACTATTTTCTTTCGTGTTTATGGTCTATTGAGATTTATCATTTATGCAAGTCTTCCAAAATGTTTTGTTATTGAGTGTGAAAGTGATTGAAGCAAATCAATAAGTTACGAGTTTATTTGAACTAGTTTATCCCATTTAACTCATTAGACTGCTAATTAAAATGTTCATATCATGTTTCCGAGTTTATACTGATACATATATGATGTATGTACTTTGATGTTTCATCATCCGATTTTGATAATTTTCATGTGTGTGCTTTGTTTTTGCATCCATAGTCTAAAAGGCCTTTTACACGCACAAGCATATTAGTAAGTCAGACTTTAAAGATTTGTTCACATTTTGTTTCTCTGCGCTTACTTTGTATTGTGTTTCAACGTTTCAGGTTTCTAAGTGACTTGCACAAGATTTAAACCAATCTTCCTGAAATGTTTGTTGATCGTATATTTCAATATAATTATGTGAAAACTCTTGAAGAAACATTATTTGAGATTTCTTTTGGAGGAAAAAAATTCATGTTCTGTCTAAATCAACTGTTTCGATTACAGAACTTATTAGGAGGCTCAATAGTAGTACTAGAATGTGTTCAATTCATGATTATAGAATGATGTACAAAGTGATTAATGTTTCTCTACCTATTATCCTAATGGTAATATCGTTGTTGATAATCCATCTTCGATACGACATGGACTTCCAAGGTGAGGTTGATAATAATATTGGCCAGGCCAAACGTAACACTGATCTAAGACCAACAGAGCAAAACCTATGCAACATGGTGAAACCATTTGGACACGAACACTTGGTTAGAGACAGCAATGCGAAAACACTACGCAGTGAGGGATTTGGTAACCTTTGGACGACCCAGTAAGTAG